GAGAGAGAGAGAGAGAGAGAGAGAGAGAGAGAGAGAGAGAGAGAGAGAGTTTTTCTTCTTCCTCTTCTTAGTCCACCATCTCTTCTTCCCCTCTCACCACCTGACTTCTCAGTACCAGCGGACTACGACAAAGAAAGAGAGTTGTGACTTGAGACTTGACGACATTGGATCCAGACTCGACATTGGGATTCAGACATTTTGACGAGGGACTATTTGGGCTTGTGCCGAAGACTTGGTGTTGACGACATTCCCATCTTCCCCTCTTCTTCGTCCAACCCCCCTCTTCTTCGTCTGTGTATGGTTGGGGCTGGCGCATTCTTCCTGTGTGAGCGCCAGACCCCTTCACACCATGGCGTGATGATGATGATGATGTATGTTCGGGCCTGCATTGCAATATTGACTGTTCGGATCATTGGTATCTAAGTCTTCCGCTTCGCCCTATGTATGAGAGGTCGGTTGTTGTTCTGGTCTGCACCTTTACAGTATGCAACAAACACCCCTTCCCCCCTGGATCCACATATTAAGTCTGTTGACGCCGACAACACCAACAAAACTCGTTGCAGGGAGACCCCAAGAGAGAGAGGCAACACCAACAGAACTCGTTGCAGGGAGACCCCAAGAGAGAGAGGACAGTAACCTTCATAGCCCACAACCTAAATCCAACGGAACCAAAACGCAACACGATTCGTCACAATGTGCAGCATACCAAGACCACAACGTGGGTGACACGACAGGCACACGTGTGCATTCCAACAAGTCGGGCGAATGATGGGTCGAACCTCAGGACGCCATTAGCTGATGCATCACACATCCCACAAGTCTCCACCCTTGCATATGGTAAGCAGCGAATATAGGGTCGAGGCCACCTGCACCACCGCTCCATGGCACCACTCAAATGGCAAAGAGCGCAGAGCCTCCTTACCATATTGCGACACCATCCAAGACAAACGGAAGGTTTCGTTGTGAGTGCGGACACGAAGACTACACCATAAGAATGCTGCAACCGCTCTACCCGAAACCTATGGGATAAGGGTGTTAAAGCTAAGAGTCGGTGACGGGCTCCACCGCCTGCACCACCTACAAATGACCGGCAACCGGACAGACGTCGACGATCAGCCGCCAATCATCGCAAGAGGATGAGTAAGGGTGAACACAACGATCCAGAAGCCAGCATCACAGCATCGGAAAACCCCGACAGCCACGACCGCCGCCAGCGACGAGCGAGTTGTCGTGAAAGCCCTCTGAGAGAGACGACCCGAGGCCCAAAAGGCGCTGCAAAAATCTTTTGTCGACCACCAAAAAATGACTCGCCTGTCCCACACAAACTGGAAACCACTGAAAGCATGTGCAGAGAGTCCCACGTGACTCAAGTACAAGGTCCCAAAACCCACGCCCGGAACGTCGCCTTCGTCGACTGCAAGGGGGCTGCTAAGCACGCAGTCCCCTATAAGAGTGCAAACGGGACTCCGAACCGCCAGCCACCGACCATTTGGCACATCCAGAGGGCGCTCACTGAGCCATCCGCCGAGGGACCTGCACATGTCCCTTTCCAGCAACCTAACTGAACAAACCCCTATGACGATGTCCCGCTCGGGACCTCATCTATCGCATACCCTAACGGTACAGACCAGACCAAGAACCGGCCTTTCTCACCAGATACAAGATAGCACAACGGAAGGCTTAAATACCAATTATCCGATCAATCAAGCTGTCATGCAGACCAAACATGTATCATCATTATTCCATGGTGTGAAGGGGGCTGACGCTCACACGGGAAGAATGCGTCAGTCCCCGGTCATGCACAGACGAAGAAGAGGGGGATTAGACGAAGTGGAGGGGGAAGATGGAAATGTCGTCAACACCAAGTCTTCGATACAGTCCCAAATAATCCCTCGCCAAAGGTCTG